TTTGGCTGAAGCTCATGGGTGTGGCCCGTTTACTTTCAATGTCGTTCCTTGCTGTTTTAAGTATATTTTTAGGTATATGTTCAAGTATTTATTTCTGGATACAGATATTAAATTATTGGGTTATTATGTCTTGAGCACTGAATGATTTAAATATATTCTTTTGGATTTCTAAGTATACATGTCTATAGTGTTGCCCTTATTTTTGTGAACAGTGTATCATTTTGATCCAGGTGATGTGATTGGTGTTAAATTATATTTGTTATTAGTGCCTGTGCTCACATGTCATAGTATGTGTGTGGGAAGTAAGAGGAGAGTGTTTGGGAGTTGGTTTTCTCCTTCCACTATAGATTATTCCAGTGCTTTCACCCACTGAGCCATCTCAGCAGACCTGATGCTATCTTTAAGAAAGTAATTTTTTTTGACACTTGGATAGATAAAAATTGGTATCATGTTCTCCATGAGTTTCCTACACATCCTCTGGTTATCTAGTGGGGTAGAGTGTCTTCCTATGTTTACTGGCTTTATGTTATCCATTTGTGAGTCACATGTCTATGTGGCTGCATAACTTTATGCTTGGTTCTTTGATCCCTCTGCAGCTTAATCTTGTGCATCTGTGAGCTAGCGACCTAGCTTAGCTGAAACCTCACATGTCATTTCCTTCCTTAGGGCTTTTGAACTGTATTTAATGTATACTAAGTTTGTGTCTATACATTTAAAGTCTTCCTTCTTCCCTACCCTACTCTTAACATTGTCTTGACTAGAACATATGGTTTAGTTTGCTAAAATTGTATAAGTTTTGCATGTACAGTATTTTAATTATATATTAGAGATACATTTTATTGAGTGTATCACTAATAGATCACATGTAAGGTAATAGACACCCTGGGGGTTTATGTTTAATGTCTGGTAATTTTTGTTTATTTTTCTGTTTTTCTTCCATTTATTTTTATATTGTTGATCTATTTGTTGTTACTGTGCTTGATTTAAAAAAAATTTAGCTGTTATTTTTTGCTTTTATTCTTTTTTTTTAAAGGAAAAAAACAAACAAACAATGAGACAGGGTGTCACGTAACCAGGCTGGCCTTGAACTTGCTATGTAGCTAAGGATCACCTTCAACTTTCAATAAGTCACCACCCTTAGTTTATACAGTACTGGGAACTGCAGTCAATGCTTTGTGCAGACTGGGTGAGCACTCAACAAAACGAGTTACAGTCATCTTTTAGCTGAAGCTTTGCATCACTCTGTCAAATCCCAGCTGAGATATTTACAAGAGTAGCAGTACATTGCTCATTACTTTTGATAAAATTGGAGTCTTACAGCCTTGAGTGTTTTTTGTCCAGGAACATCATTAACATTGCTTCTTTGTTCTTTAATAAAAGCCGTCAACCACATTGATGTTTGCCTCCCCTGACCTCGGCCCTCATGTAGTGGGTATTTTATTAAAAATACATGCTCTCATACTGTTTCAATTTCATTAATCTATACTAACTCCATTAATTTTGGACGTATTACATTCTTGTTTTTTTTTGTTTTTGTTTTCTGACTTTTTCAGTTGACAGTTCAACCCTCCCCCACCTCCCATTTTACTATTTTTCATTAAAGGCGTAAGAGGCAGGCATCCTCTCTGAAGGCTGCTTTAACATCAGTGCTGTTCGTTGCTGGGGAAATTCTTACCTTTCAGCCCCATTTCCTTAAAGGACTGTTTAAATCCTTTTATTTACGTAAGTTTGCACGTTTATTTTGGCGTTTGTTTTATCTTTATGTCTGGGGTGTTCGTTATGTTTGCAAGGCAAGTACTTAAACCCTGGGCTGTAGCCTCTGCCCTGGCTACTTTTTTTTTTCCTAATTCCTGGTTATATCTTATGCTTAGACCATGTCTGCTTTCCTAAGATGTTCTCCACCCCCTTCCCATATACCCACCTAATGCAAAGTCAGTTAGGAAGACCTATGCCATGTGAGTTTGAACATAGTTTATAGTTTTTATCATTTGTATGTAAATTTCTTATGTGTCTGATTCATTGAGTCCACTTCTGCTGTGGAATACTTGATCCCTGTGTTTAGCTTTCTGATTTACCTACTTGGAACAAGATAAGATAGCTTTTCTCTTCCATCCCCTTATATTCCAGCTCGAATTGTTTTCTTGAATGCTGCTGTTCATCTTCTATTTTGATTATCATTTATTTCGTGTTTCTGTTTGGTTTCAGATTGCTGTTTGTTAGGTAGATCTCTTAGGTAGTTAGCTAGGATGATTTAACTCAAAGAGCTATTCCCTGAGTAATTTGAACTCACTCCACATCCTATGGTTGAGGATAGAGTTGCTCTCACTAAGGGGAGTTAATATGTTTTATCTATTGTGCTTATGGTTGAGAATTCTTCATCGTCTTATCCCCACAGCCAGTGAGGATGCTCAGCAAATGCTCACAGAATAAATCTCCCTGATCCTGATTCTCTTCTGATTTGAGAACCAACATGGAGTTCACTTGGGTATAACGAAGGTCAACTGACAGTAGATGGAGTCCAGGGTACTTTTCATAGTTGTATAAACTTAACACATACAGATTTCAAGTTTTGCTAGATTTGTGAGGTCTAGAGGTAATTCACACGGTGTTAGTGAAAGATCTTAGAACTGGAGAGGGAGACCCAGTGTAGTGTCTGCTCCAGCCTTGCCCCCCAGGATAGTGTATTCTGGGAGATTCCTCTCACCCACAGTAGGCCACAGCTCTAGTTTCAGACTGGGACCTTGAACTTGTATCTTCTTTTTCACATCACTGAGCTATATATGTTTTAATGTAGTAGGTAACCCAGCTTTATTGCAGAATGACTCTCCAGAAGAGCCACAGCATCAGGAAAAGACACACATTAGTGGTGGTTGTTTGAAATGAAATCGGGGTTGCTCCTGGCCCCTCAGATATCATTGTCTTGCCTCAACTGAGAAAGCAATCATCGGCATGTATTGCTGCGGTGAGAGAGCATAAGTCTGGAGTCAGGGCCTCTTGGATAGATATGTGACACCTGGGCTCATCCAACGCCTCTGGAAATCTCTTTCCAAACAATCAAGCTAGATTACTTGAGCTTGACTTTCTTTCATCTGAAAAGGCTGCCAGTTCACATCTGGAAAAGCCTTATTGGAAACTCCAGAATCGATTTTCTGACTCTGTACCTGAAAGATTTCTCTTGAGCTACTTGGAACTCACAACAGGGGCGCCTCATTCAGCTAATCATACGTTTTGTACTCCCTATTCAAAATGCTTGGGACCAGAAATACTTAAAAATTGGGCTTCTTTCAAAATCTTTAAGATGTTCATATACACAGTGTTGGCCATGAGACCCAAGTCTAAACATTGAATACTCATATACACCATGGCATATGTAGCCTGGGGGTAGTTTTATATCTGCTCTTTAGTGATTTTGTGCAAAAACCAGCATTTCTTGGGGTAGAATTTTCTACTTGGGGCAATATGCTGGCTTAAAACTTTACATATTTTGGAACATTTTACATGCAGGATTTAGGTAAAGGGGTGCTTGACATCTGTAAATAATTCAGATACCAAAGCTTTGAATGTTGTGCTAAGGGCATGATGCAAGCGTCTTTTGATGGCAGGGTCCTTCTGTGTAGCCCAGGCTGGTCATGAACTCACCTTGATCCTTCTCCAGGCTTGGAATGATAGGTGTCTGCTACCACCAGGTGACATGTGCACTTTCAAGATATTGCACACCAACTGGTTACTGCTTAAGAAGATAGACTGCTCACTTCCGGTTCTCTTCTTTGATGCGAGCAGGGCAGGCATGGTACCACCCATCTGGTGGACATCGTACATGCTCCCCTGTCACACGGAGCTCAGCTTGGGTCCTCCTCATTCTGTCTAACGTCAGATTAGCCTGCAGCAGATGTTGAGCTGGGGATACCCTTCTTTGCCTGAGTTTCAGTTGGAAGTTTAGGGATTTGCTAAAATTGTTGAGGTCTGACAACAGTGAGAACATGGGAGCCACAATCCTATCTGGTGATTTGACAGAACATAGATGACTGAGGCCAAAGGCTCCGGTCTAGACTGACCAAGAAAAAGAATTGGCAGAGAACATGGTATGCCCTTCATCTTTAGTACCTGCTTTCTAAAAGAGAACCCCTAGCTCTGACAGCAATTCCTGGGGTCTCTTTGGGGATGCTAAGTTGCTGAATATTTCTTATGAACTATTATTTTTAGAATATAGTAGAAGGATTCCAACAAGCGCTTCAGAGGCCAATATTGGGGAGGGGGGCGACCTTTGAATATTGGGAAGCAACAGACGTAGCTCAGACCCTTTAGTAAGTATACACACTGATGCTCCTTGGTTACTATGGGGTTATGGCTCAGTAAGTAGAAACTAATATAAATCAAAGATGCGTTCAGCAAACAGCAACAGCTGAGGGCCCTGCACCCTGTACCCTGCACCCTGCACCCTGTACCCTGCACCCTGCACCCTACACATTGGAGTGTGGACTGTTTCTGCTCATGATGGTGGCTAGCTGGGAGCTGCCCCACACTGCCACTTGCTGCTGCTGTCCCCCTTGTGATAGATAACTATACTACACACAAACAGGCCAGCCCAGGAAAAGCTCCAGATTCCTAATGTGCACTTCAGCTTTTACTAGCCCTGTATTACTTTTTTTTTGTTGTAAAGTTGAAAATTACAACTTAGACGATACAAGTCCTGAATTGTCTGCTAGCTTAAGCAGCACATTTGGGAGAAAAAGCAACTTGGAAGGCAGTTCAGGATGTTTTAAATGGCGCCTAACTCCTAGTGACACATGCCTTCCCTACAATCCTTTCCAGAAATGTCAATGTCCAGGGTTCAACAAGAAAAGGTGGATTGACAATTGTCTTTTTAAAATGCAGGAGTGAACCATTCCCCCCAGGTTGGTGGCTCAGCCAGCCAATCAGGTTCCTTGTCCCCACATGCTCTGTGGCAGGTCCTCCCTGACCATTCTCAGGCTTGTCTAACCAGGTGTTTCTTCCCCCAGAATGGCTGCAGTCTGTCCAGGCCACCATGATCCTGTCTGTCATCTTTAGCGTCCTGTCTCTGTTCCTGTTCTTCTGCCAGCTCTTCACTCTCACCAAAGGCGGCCGGTTTTACATCACTGGATTCTTCCAAATCCTCGCTGGTAAGTTGTGGGTGGTGACGTCCCTATGGGTCTTGAAGGACACGCTCCCAGAGAGTTGGATGTTTGTGCATTGGACAATTGGATGTTTACCCTGAAATATTTTCCCTCTGTGTCTTTCTGTGTGCCTTTCTATCTCTTTCTCCCATGATCCCATCACATGTGTGAGTATGTGTATATATACACACACACAAGCATGCATGAGCATATATACTAGAAATTACAAATGTTCCAGTTCTTGTGGAATGAGACACATATAAAAGAGTCATGGGCTCTAGGAGAAAAGCCTCCAACATGTCAGATCTATCACTGGGAATAAAGCCACAATATGGGCACAACATTAGAGGTAAATGCCAAGGCAGGCTCTTTTCTAAAGTATCACTTTGGTGACTATTCATCAAGTCTAGATACTACACTTGATCTTAGCCAAAAGGCCTAGGAGAAGAGCTCTGAGGTCCAGCGATAAGGACCCATGTGACCCTAGTGGCCTCTGGGTTAAGGGCCTTCCCTCCATGCAGACATTCTTAGAGTTCCCCTAACTTTTCAGAAGTCTGCTTACTGTGGTACTTGCTTTACATCTTTCCTTCAACTCTGAACTCAATGTGAACATTCTAGAACACTGCCTCAGATGCCTCTGGCTTTAAAAGCACATGATTTGCTTTTATTTAGGCCCTTTGAATCTATCTGCTTGTTCCTCACGAGACTTGTTTTCAGCCACGGGTCATCAGCTGAGTGGCCCTTACGTAAATAAGCTATCTGGAGTTAGAAATGTTGAAGTGAAACAGTGGCTGGGATTGCCTAAGAACATTCTGTGCCCAGTCAATTCCAGTCAAAACGATCTGAAGGGAGTTCTCCTAGGAATCTCGGGTCTCCAGAATGTTCGTTGAAATTGCTGGTAGATCTTCCTACTCAAATTGAAAACCAAGAACTGGGGCTTTGCCTACATACCTCAGATTCTCTCAGATTATCTCGGATTCTCTCAGATTCTCGCAGATTCTCTCAGATTACCTCAGATTCTCTCAGAGTGTGATAGTTCTAAGTCAACCTTGTGGGCTTTCCCTCCCCAGATCATGGTGTTTATATGAGCTGGAGAGAAGATGGGGGTAGCATGGTGGAGATGAGAAGTAGTTTGTACTTGGTAATTAACAGTTAAACATCAAAGAAGAATTCAGAAAAACTAAAGCATCTGGGAAGGAAAGAGAGGGAGGTGGAGAAAGAGGCAGAGGAAGGAAGAAGGAGAAAGTAGCCTCATGGTAGCATGTAAAACCTGAGTGTGGCTACCACAGTGGACAGCTACGTTCCATGAAGGACAGGTCTTCAGAGTACTGAAGCACATTAAGTAGAAAGCAGTAGAGAATCCATTGAGTTTCAGAAGATACTGTTACAGGTACCATCACTGCTCCCTTTTTGAAAAATTATTTTTAATTTTAAGCTGTTACTTCACTCTTTAGATTTATTTGGTTTACGTGTACAGAAGTTTTTGTTTCCCCAGAATGTATGCATGTACAGCATGTGCACGCCTCATTCTGAGGCACTCAAAAGAGGGCATTGGAGTCTCTGAAACTGGGTACAGATGGTTGTGAGCCACCATGTCTGTGCTGGGAATTGGACCTGGATCCTCTGCAAGAGCAGCCAGTGCTCTAAGTTCATGAGCCATCTCTCCAGGCCCTACAGCTCCCTTTGGAAGGGCATGCTGTGGTCACTACGGATCATACTTGTGAGTTGGAGCTTAGGGGAAAGACAGGAGACCACTGAGTGGGCTCTCCTGCTGCCTGTGCCTTCATCAAAGTCACAGCAGCTCTCTTGGCTCTGCTGTGTCACTGCCAACATCTCTGAGTGAACTCTATTTCTTCTTGATCACACACTTATTTGGCTTGGCAATTTCCTGCAGGAATAACAGAAAAGCCCTCCTCAGCTGTTTGTCTGAATCAGGGCGAGATAGCTTTACCCTGTAGAGCCTCAGGTATACCTCCGTGTGGGTTCTCTCCCTGGTTGACTTGTGCAGCTATTAAAATGCCCTGGTCTTGCTATGAGGTCTCCTAGGACTGTTCTATTAGGAGCAAAGCCCACGCATGAGCTGTGAATTCTTCTAAACCTCGTAGGGGAGAATGTCCTGACCCTGCTTCTAGATTTTGGAGTCATTTTTGTTCCTACACATTTGCTATCCTTACATTTGCTGTGTTGTGTCAGGATGACTAAATGAGAGAACATCAAGAAAACCACACAAACGTGGAGTTGGAAGTAAAGAGTCCTGTGCTTTAATGTCCAGCAGCTAACTAGCTCCGGGCAGGCACATGGAAGACCCTCAAACCCCCGATTGGTGCCTATTTAATTGTGTCCCTGTGATAGAATCCAGCTCAATACAAATATGTAGGTATCTTAGCAAACTTGGGAGCCACAGCTTGTGTTTCAAGTCAGATCCAGCCACCTTTCCTCAACAAGCCGATTTATAAAGGACTGCATTAAAAGTGGAAAGCAGATCTATTCAATGGGACCACACTGGGAAGAGGGACAAAGGGATCCAGAATTCATTTTCCCCAAGTCTGTCTTCAGGGTATTTGCTCCTGAGGCAACATCAAAGTTTAAGTAGAGGGCCATGAATGTGCACATCTAAGCATCCCCAGTCAGGGTGTGGCCCTACCCACCACTGACCAGTCATTATCTGGGTTCAGACTCATCATAAGATGTTCTGACAAGTCCATAGAAACCTGTGAACTCTCTCTTTCAGGGAGGCAAGTTCTCCCCCTGCTGGTACCTTTTTCTTCTTCCAGCATGAGATTTCTAGAGAAATTCCTATTTCTTTGGGGTCCATTGTTTCAGCCGTGCTGGAGTCAGACTGAAGAACTCAAGTGTCTCTTTAGAATATCTTCATTTCTGCCAGGCTGGTCCCAGTTACTGTGGTTGAGGGAGACTCCTGAGTGAGTCTCATCTTTCCTATTTGTTTTATTTCTTCTCTCTCTCTCTCTCTCTCTCTCTCTCTCTCTCTCTCTCTCTCATACTCTCTCTCTCTCTCATATTCTCTCTCTCTCTCTCTCTCTCTCTCTCTCATATTCTCTCTCTCTCTCATATTCTCTCTCTCTCTCATATTCTCTCTCTCTCTCATATTCTCTCTCTCTCTCTCTCTCTCTCTCTCTCTCTCTCTCTTATACACACACACACACACACACACACAGGATTCAGGGGTCGGGGGAGAAGAAGGGAGGGAGAAAGAAGGGATTAACACAGAACAAAAGAATTGATGGGGAGGTTAGTCTTCTCGGTGTGGCTCTGCACAGCCTCCCAGGTCCTGAGGAGTCTTTCGTTGGTTGAATGTCAACACTGCTTTCTAGACTTGATGACTAGATCTACTTCTGAGTTGTCTCTCTTTGGCTGCTGAGTTGTCAGGTTCCAGGTGCACAGCTGATGGCCCCGTTCCACGCCCTCCCCCCACCTCCACCCCACCCCTCCTCCTCCTCCTCTTCCTCCTCCTCCTCCTCCTCCTCCTCCTCCTCCTCCTCCTCCTCCTCCTCTTCCTCCTCTTCTGCCCAGTCCACCACCTGGCAGTGCTGTGGTGTGGTGTCCTCTGTGGGTGCTGTGCCAGTTCTTTTCTCTGTACTCACTGATGCACTGCACTTGTGTACAGATCTACCCCTGCACCTCCTTACTCCTGCCCCACACCCACCCCAAAATCCCATTTCTGCTCAGCTGCCGGGGTGATCTCTCTTCTGCCTTTTTTGGGGTTTTCACTAAATCTTATTATTATTTTATTGTAAGTGCTTGTCTGCCTACATGTATTTCTGTGTCCTACTTGCATGCCACTATAGTAGAGGCCTGAAGAAGATGTCAGATCTCTTCAGGAACTGGAGTTAGTCATGTGGTGCGGGGAATCGAACCCAGGTCCTTTGAAAAAGCAAGTGCTCTTAATTGCTGAGTCATCTCTTCTAGATCTGTTTTTATTTTTGGATCATGATATAGCTCAAGCTGGCCCCTGAGATGCTTGGTGTCAGCCTCTTTAGTGTTAGGATTATAGACCTGTGCCACCCCATCTGGCCTTGGGAATAACTTCCCAGCACAATCAGGTTCCTTCCTTGCTGGAGATCCCTACACAGCTTCCCTTCCCTGTCCCCTTGCCATGCCACTCCACTCTGGATGAGATCCAGCCTCCCATCATGTCAGGCCAGTCACCACCTGCTGGTAGCTTTTGATGCTTTCTCCCAGTCTTAGCCTTGACCTAGCTCTTCTTCTTGGTGTTTGCATCCTGCCTGTCTTCACCTGGTCACCTCTTTCACATCTCTAAGACCCAGCTAAATTACCATCACCCCTCAAGGCTTCTGTTCTGCTGTGTGGAGCTCAATCCATCTAATCTTTCAGGGCACTGGGAATGTTCCTCCTTTCTACATCACTTAGTATTGAAAGGCATGTCTGTCTTTTGGACAGGCATCCCTTGAAGGTAGGAGCCTTGTCACATCTATCCGGGAACTTTCACTATCTAGGACAGTATGTGCATGTAGTAAACACCCTTTACTTGCTGTAAGAACCCAAAGAGATGGAGATGATGAGGAATTACCAAGAGATTCTCAGTTGGCCCTGTAGTGGCTCTTTCCAAAGGTGCTGAGTTCTAATTGCTTGGCTGGGATTGCCGTTGCTATTCAGTGTTGCCAACCCTGCCGTCTTTGTCCCTCTTTCCTTCCTTGTTTGCTTTCTGTCTTGGTTTATTTTGTTTTGTTTTGTTTTGGTTTTTTTTTGTCTTAAGACGGAGTCCCACAGTCTAGCCCTGGCTAGCTTTGAATTCAAAATCTTCCTGCTCCAGCTTTGCAAAATGCTGAGACTTTGAGGCTTGTGTCACGAATGCCTAGTGTGTGCTTTCCTTTTCTTTTGTGCTTATGGAGCTAGAGATGGGCTTTGCACATGCTAAGTAAGTATGCCATGCTGGTTCACACACCTGACCCTGCTAGTTCTTAGGAAGAAGGGGTCCCAGGGACCACTAGGACAAGATGACTGAGGACCCTGGATTAAGGCTGATCAAACATGTCCCAGGACATCTAAACTGCTATTATCCTTCAGCAGGATGATGGCTTCTCATGACACAGCCAGCTTTGCTGTCTCTGCACTTTCTATAGGTAATGTCAGGTCCTAGGTCCATCCCACAGCAGTCCCAAGACTATTGTGTGGCTTTTCCAGTGGAGGCAAGCTGAGTGGGCATATTCTCCTCTGAGTTGCCAAAGGACAATCTGATCAGGGTGGATTGTGTGACATCATCCCTCTTCTGCTGTTTATTCAAACAAAGTTGAACTGTCCAGCGTGTCAGCAGCCCACATAGCAGTGAGGTTAGCTGTAGGTGGCCCGGGAAACTGGAGCCTTAGAATCGCACAAATCCCACACAGCCTGCTGCCTTTATAATAGTCCTTCAGAGCTTCTCAAAGGCTCTGTTTTCACTAGGGAACAGATCTGGCTTTGTCCAGCTCCAGGCTAGGATGCTGATGTCATTGGACCTTTCTTTGTGGAGGGACCATATGGGCAGAGGTGGCCAAACTTGAACACGACAGCTGCACCAAAGAGTTGGGGTGGCCTGACTCACCTGCATGCCTGAAGTCCTTTCATCTGTTTTGAGCTTCAGGCCTGGTCTTGGAGTCACCAGGTGGATGGAGCTGCTCTTTATCCATCTCCTCTCACGGGGGCTTTGACTCTCACCCTTGCAGTCCTCCTCAATTCCTCCTTGCTTCCCATCCTCCTCCACTGCAAACCTTTGCCTGCCCTGCATCACCAATAGGTACTGCTCACTTACGTTCACGGGACAGCAGTACTAAGGGAACCAGGTCCCCTGTGGTCAGCAGAGAGTCAAGCCTTTGCTGTTGATCTGTGACACCACCAGTGGTACAGAATCACTTCACTTCCACTGGTTTTTTGGTCATGCACGACACCACCCATCTGTACAGTGGATTTCAGCTGTATCTGCACCAGACTGTTTCTTGGAAGAGCTAGGCAGGCTCATCTGTCTGTCTTGAGTGGCCTGAGAAAAGTGTCATGGTAAAAGAAGGAGAAATGAAGGAGAGAGTGTGCTGAACTCCCAGAGAGGGGCCTTGACCTGGGCAGCCACTGTTGGACGTAGGGAGCCGCTCATTTTCCTTTCATGTGTTTTTCAGCCATCTCCCCCTAGTTCTGAGCTGGGAGGCCCAGCTGGGTTAGACACATCCTCCTTGTCTAGCAATGTGGATGTCCACCCCCACCGAGAACCCCACAGTTACCTGTTGTCTTTCTCCTCTCAGGTCTGTGTGTGATGAGTGCAGCGGCCATCTACACAGTGAGGCACAGTGAGTGGCATGTCAACACTGACTACTCCTATGGCTTCGCCTACATCTTGGCCTGGGTGGCTTTTCCCCTGGCCCTCCTCAGTGGCATCATCTACGTGATCCTGCGGAAACGCGAATGAGGCGCCCGACGCATCCGTCTAGGCTCTGAGCGCGCGTAGGGTACACAGGGAGGGAGGAAGGAAACCAAAAAGCAAAACCAACCAACCAAAAAGAGCTAGCCCCAAACCCAAACGCAAGCCAAACCAAACAGAACGCAGTTGAGTGGGGGATTGCTGTCGATTGAAGATGTATATAATATCTATGGTTTATCAAACCTATTTATAACACTTTTTACATATATGTACATAGGATTGTTTGCTTTTTATGTTGACCGTCAGCCTCGTGTTGAATCTTAAACAACTTTACATCCTAACACTATAACCAAGTTCAGTATCTTTGTTTTGTTTCTTTTTTTTTTCATCTTTTCGTTTTGCTCGGACGTAAACACTCCACGTGGCCCCCTTTCATCTGAAAGCAGATACCTCCCTCCCACTCAACCTCGTAGGATAACCAAAGTGTGCGGACAAACCCCAGACAGCCAGAGGCCTTCACACCATGGGTGACCCAGTGCATTTAGCAGGAATATCCACTGCCCAAATCGATGTGTGAAGCCCTAAGCACTCACAGACGAAAAAGCCTGACCGGAGCCCTCTGCAAAAACAATAGCTGGTGGCTCTGGAACACTTGACCCTGTAGGCAGAGTACTGGGGCCACACGTTTAAATGAGAAGTCAGAGACAAGCAATCTGTGAAATGGTGCTATAGATTTACCATTCCTTGTTATTACTAATCATTTAAACCACTCACTGGAAACTCAATTAACAGTTTTATGACATACAGCAGCACGAAGACCTGATACAAACGGTTCATAACTGCTTTCGTACCTAGCTAGGCTGTTGTTATTACTACAATAAATAAATCTCAAAGCCTTCGTCACTCCCACAGTTTTCTCACGGTCGGAGCGTCAGGACGAGCATCTAGATCCTTGGGACTAGCGAGTTCCCTGGCTTTCTGGGTCTAGAGTGTTCTGTGCCTCCAGGGACTGTCTGGCGATGACTTGTATTGGCCACCAACTGTAGATGTATATATGGTGTCCTTCTGATGCTAAGACTCCAGACCTTTTTTGTTTTTGCTTGCTTTTTTTTCTGATTTTATACCAACTGTGTGGACTAAGATGCATTAAAATAAACATCAGAGTAACTCATTTGTCTCTTCCTGGGTTTTGTGAGTCCTTGCTCTGTGTGTACGGCACAAATGAAGGTGAGCTGAAGCACTTCAGTGGAGACTGTGGTGCAGTTGGGGGTTCAGTTCCCGTGTGGTGCTTCAGGAGTGAGGTGATAGCTGTCTCACAGGTGGAGGGAGCATGTGATGCCTTCAGCGTCTGTACAATGTCTGTCAGTTGTACAGAGTTGGGAAATGAAACTAAAGGTCAGGCTTTAAGCGATCTGGAAGCAACCTCAGTGTTCATCTACTCCCGCTCTGAGATGGCACGTACAGGGAGCGCAGGGGCATGGCAGGAGCTGTGCTCATGTACACAGATCATCTTGAGAAGCATGGCCTCTGAATTATTGCCTGAATGGTGCTTTGAATGGTAATGGTCATAAAGTAGGGTGGCTGAGCTTTTAACCCCATCGAGAAGGCAAAGGTCACACGCATTACTTAGCTCCAGGCTTCTGTTACTCCCCAGCCTTTTGCAGTGATGCAGTGTGTCAGGTGATATAGTCTTCTATACTTATTGGCCCCTTACTCTAAACTGCACCAGAGGTCAAGAAAGAATGAGAAAATTCCCGTCAGTAAATTATACTGAGCAAGGTAAACCTTGTGGTAGCGTTAAGAGTGTGGAAAGTAGGCAGCCCAAGCCTGAGCCTGCCCTCATCTGATTCCCAACGGGAGCACGTTCTTGTCCCGCATCTGTAAGATATGGATTCCGGTGTGAAGGCTCCAGGTTGTGAGCATCAAAAGAAGGTGATGGGAACATTAGTGACCAGACTCCAGGAAACACTCCGTGAATTAATTACCACAAATTACCCTAGAGGAGTGTTTGGAAGAGCATGATTGCTTATCTTGGTCTTGTCCCTGCCAGCACATCACACCCTGTTGTCCCCACTACCCCACACACACCCAGACACACCTGGACTTCGTGGATAGTAGCATCACCGCACAATAAAAAGGCAGAAAAGGGAATGGTTACATATAGAAGAGACCAAATGTAGGAGGTGGCCTGCTGTCACTTTATGACAACCTGCTGTCTTGAGGGCCAGGTTTCTGTTTAGGACCAGCATCAATCCCTCGGGAGAATGACATTAGGCTCAGCAGACCTCAGTGTGCTCCCGAGGCTCTTGGCAGCCTTTGATATTACAGACTCAGATCCACATATGAGCAGGGCCTGAGATCCTGCATTTCCACCTAGTGCCTGGGTGAGGCTGGTGTACAGGAAATGTTTGAGAAGCAGGAGTCTACAGTGCATCCGCCTGCAGCCACCTGACATCTCTGCCTGAACACCTGTGGCACCTGCAGCCACCTGACACTTCTGCCTGAACACCTGTGGCACCTGCAGCCACCTGACACTTCTGCCTGAACACCTGTGGCACCTGCAGCCACCTGACACTTCATGATCACCTGTGACACCTGTAGCTACCTGACACTGACACTTTGCCTGAACACTGGGGGCAGAGTTGTAAGTTTCATCTGAAGTTCTCGAGTGACTGTTCCTAATGCTTTTGACACAAAGACTTTGGCCACATTTCAACAGCCAGACATGGGATGTAAGTGTGAGTGATTGAGAAAACAGGACTTTGGTCCCACAGCTTGTACTTTGAAAACACTATCATTTTATAAAAGTTGCCTTAAAAAACAAGTTAAACGTTAAAATGGTTTTTTTAAATTGGTGTAGATAACACACAAAAATGAAAGCTAACAATGGCCTCCAACTCTGCCCATGTGAGCAATTCCATTGATTAATATATATTATTATATACACACATATTATACAATACATATAAATCTAGGATTGGAGCATCTGTATCTAGGCAGAATAACAAAAATTTAAAGCCTTTTCCCACCTCATACTCTCTTGACATAAGTAGCCACAAAACCAATAACGGGGATTCTAAGCTGATATATGCTTACGATTTATTCCAGAAAAAAATGTTCGAAATAGGTTGGACACTGATCTCTATAAAGTAGACACCAAGCGGCCAGACTAGACACACCGTTCTGCGCTTTGTTCTCTGATAAAAGCTGGAGCTCACTTTATGTCAGAACACACTCTATTTCCTTCAATGATCTCTGATTTAGTCTTTTACTACATAGCTGAATCCACCTGTATTTACTGTCCCCCACTGACAGGAACGGAGCCTTGCTTTTTATTATTACTCAGACTATTTCTACACACATTCTCATGCATGGATATTGATGAGTTTGCCCTCATCTTAAATTCCTGGTAGAGAAAGTACAAAGACAAGGTACAGTTGTATTTTTTAAAAACTTAGTTGACGTTGCTAGTTTCATCTCCAAACAGTTTACACCAGCTATGCTTGACAGTCAAGTGTTACTTTCTGCTTTTGATTCTTGGGATTCATTTGACAAGAAGAGGAAGGCTACAACAAAGATGCTAGAAATGGCTTCTCTGTCACCAGTTCCCTTGGGCCTGCATGGGACGGTCTCACTGCCTTGCTGACCTGTCTGCTGCAGTATAGAGTCTGATCTAGGATCTGATGTGTAGGAGGCTGGGCACTGGGGCATGTGTCCAACTCGAAGCACTAAATGCCATTATGCATTATGTGGTTTTGTCTTAGTTCAACGCTGTGACAAATACCTGAGTCTAGATACTTCATAAAGAAAAGAGATTTATTTAGTTTGAACTGCAAAACTGGGTAATCCTATTTGTGTTGTCTATGGTACGGGCCCTGCAGCGGCACTACATCCCGTTAGAAAGGCAAATGGCTGCATAAAAGGCAGGGAGTGAGTATGTAGTGTGGCCTTGCTTTATGGCAGCTTGCTTTTAAGCTTTTAAGGGCTGATCACCGATCTTGACCAGCATTTAGTCAGTTGACATAGTAAATGCCTCCAGAGGTATAATTGCCTTCCACCACACTCTATCATCTGAGGTTCTGCCACTCTGCCACATTGCCGTTTTGGGGCCCTGAACCTTTGGAAGAAGACACGCCCAAACCACACGGAAATCTTTAACCATCTGCTCAGAGATCACCCTGAGCACAACCTGGCTGTAATCTCACGGAGTTGTTACTTCCTTAACCTTCAGCAGTAAGCTTGGAAAGAGCAGAGACTGGCTTCCAGTCCACAGGACAAGGATCTCCACTAAACCACTCCTTGATCAAACCAGAAAATGGCGCTGTGCAGATGGTACCAAGCAGATAGCAAGAAAAGTTACATAGAAAAACATCAAGAAATTTTGGTGAAAGTTCGAAGAGTCTGCTGTTCAAACCAAGATTGCTCTCTCATATCCTCTTATCCCAGTTCTCTGAGACTGAGATAACACTAAACTCTAAGAGCCAAAACACAGGGTTCTGCCTCTCAGCATCTAGGCAAAAAGCTTTCTTCCCTGGGGAGCTGGTCCTTGGCATTTCTCATCTTACCCTCCTACCCACTCCTGAGATCCAGCCCCAGCTGAGTGCAGTGTGAGATAGGGCTTCTTTTCCTCAGGCAGGCTCACCTTTAAGACGAAGGCACAGGAACTCTGTGCTATGATTACTGGATCCTGCTCATTCTTGTCCTGTTTCAATCAGGAAGACAGAGCCTCCTGCTTCTCACAATGCTCAGATCCTTGAAGCAATGCAGCTCTAACTGAGAGCAGTGGGCTCACACTTTGTGAGTGAAAAGCTGAACTGAGCATGATCAAGGCATGAGGCAGGAAAGGATAGATTTCTTGCAGCAAATGAGATCTTGGGAGCTATTTGCAAAGCAGTGCCTTCCCTCAAGAAATGAAGCGTTGAGATTTTATGCTGGGAGTCTACACAATCGAAACCACTGTGACAGTGGGCACATTTCTGAGCATGCTCAGTTGGTTACATTCTAGCTCACTATCAGCTTAAAGGTGTTAATTTAAGAAGACAGAACATGGTTTTGTTTCATTTTCTCATAATTAGCTCAAGATCGTAGAGCACTGTTTAGGATTAAACTACAGTGGTGGACAGGAATGCCTCTGGATATCCACAGGCCATGTCATGGGGATTTAGCCGAAAGTAAATAGAAAGTCACATTGAAGACATTAATACAGGAGTTTGCTCTTCAAGGCACCTGACTCAGAGATGAGGAGACCTCTGAGGGAAGCTTGCTGTTGCTCTTATGCCAAATGTCAGAGCCTTAGCTCCCAGAGTGCCAGGGCAAGGGAAAAATGGGCCAAGGAGCAAACAGCTCTGAAACTGTCCCACAGGAAGTGGCTATTTGCCTCAGAGTGAAGAAATCGAAGTCCAAAGGGACTATGAAGGAAAAGGAAGGTTATGGCGCAGATATCTGGGAATAATCCAAGATGCAAAGTAAGCGTGGGCACCCTGGTTCATGAGGAAAAACCAAACACACATCCAGGGAAGGGGCTTTGGGCCTAAACCAAGCCAAACCCTGACCACGCAAAATATTCTTTCAAAGGAGTCAGAATCTGGGCAAGTTCTTTGTAGAACAATTTATAGCCCCGGACACTGTTTGGAAACCCACAGCGTAGAGGGTTCATTTGGTAATGAGTAGAGTTTGACTACTGGGTGTGGTAAGGGACAGAGGAGAGTCCTCCCAAACCACTGTCAACAGGGACGCTCTGCCTCTCTGAAGAACATTAGAGGTGGAACGTTATAGTGGTAACTGACACTGAAAAACTGGCTTTTGTGGGTCCAGTTTCTGAGGTTTCCGTTCACAGTTGGCTGGATTGATTGTGACTAGTCCAGGCCTTTGCTGAGGAAGAATGACCAGGGTAGGATAGTTGTGAAAGAGGGTTATGGGTGTGGGTTGGAGTCTTGGGCACTTGCTTGAAGCATCCAGGCTCATGTGACCATCAGGAAAGAGTTGGACCAGGGACATGTGGTTAGAAGTGGGATTAGAGGTATTGGATTAAGAATAGGAGAACATGCCTGAAAATGGAGGTGGCCCAGAGAACTGAGGGAAAAGCCCAAAAGTTCTAGCCTACAAGCTACATGATGCTGTGAAGGATCCTTCTATAGCACCTACTTCCTCACCCATGTCTACGCTGTGGGT